CTGAACCAGTTTCTGAAGAGTTTTGTGCATGAGAAGCTGAGTAAGCAGATAACCCTTGTGAAAGAAAAAGAGATTTCCCTGTAGGTTCAGTTTCCTGAAAAGACACCGAGGCCACAGGCCCAGTCCATGGGAGAATGCCATCCAGAATATCATTGCTTGAATTTGCAGCAGAAAATTCGGAAGCATAAGAATGAGGTTCTGCTAAAAAATGTTGAGCATTCGCGACATCTGGAGCATAAATTGGTCCTCCCAAAGTATTCACAAAATCATGGCTTTGAGCTGCTTCCATTCCTTTCTCTACAGGTAAATGAATTTCAGCAGTGCTAACAGAAAGTGATGTGTTTGTTTCTGATGGGAAATCCATGCGAAGATACGCGTTGGAAGGAGGATATCCAAAAGGATTTTCATAAGGCTGCTCAAAAGATAATTAAGGATTAATTTCATCAGGCAAAAAAAATCCAGAAATAAAATGGAGCAGCTTGTAATTTAGAAAACAATTCCAATCGGGTCATTTAGCGAAGACTTGAAATTTTGATCATGAAATTGCAAACTAATTCAATTGTTCATCCAGCCTTCAACACCTTAGCCAACCTCTGGGAATGCAATTTTTCTGATGTCCCCGTATGCCCTTGATAATGCATGTGTGTGGATGTCATTATATATATAGAATTTCCTTCAAATTTTATTTTTGTCTGCCATTTTTATAATCTTCAAACATAAATTCACATTGCTAATTTCCATGTACATGATGAACATGACTTATCGTTTGAGTTCTATAATATTTTTATAATAATTTATCCCTTCAAGCATATGAATAAGCAATGATATGATCGGACAACATATACAAACCCAATGTAAGGTGTCTAGTTTTACACATCTATTTCACCAGCTAAAACCATAAAGCAATTCATAGGTATTAGCAATGGCCCATATACACCAGTCAAAACCCTTTCAAAATTAGGGTTGTTTGCTTCAAATACATTCTGATCGTGCGTCCAAGCTGGCGTTCGGATGGTTGTGTGTGCATTTGCTGCTAAGCACTCACTTTTCTACTCTTATCTCTTCACATCAGTTTCATTCTCTAGCAGCATCCCTGCTGTAGAAATGCCCCTCTCCCTCACTATCTATCCTAGGCCTTTTATGTCTTCTCCTTTCCCACCTTTAGTGAACTACTGTTTTACCTTTCATCTTCTTCATCATGCTTACTCCCTTCATTTGTCCCTGGTTGACACTTTTCTTAGCATTCCACTTTCCGATCCAGAACAATCTCCTTTACCGTTGATTCTTCAATAAAGTCCTTTTCCCTCTTATTTAGCCTCAATTGTAACTCCAAAAAACAATCTCTTTTGCCAATGTTGTTAGTAGGCTAAATGATAGATATCATTCATCGCCACCAAACAATTATTTCTGCCTGTTCTTCAATCAAGATACAATCTATGGTTTAGTTAGTGGGAGATACAAGTGGGTCTCATTTGAATCAGTAGGGATGTGACATTCTTTGTGCGAACCAAAAGAGGGAGAGGAGCCTTGTTCAAATGAGACGAAGATAGCTGGGGCATTCGGTTTAGTTGTTTGTCACTAGGAGGGGTATCAGAGAAGGAGGGGGCGGGTAGTATTTTCTTTGGAAAGGAGAGCTCTTGGCTTTGCCTGAACCCTGTTCAAGGTTGCCAAGGAAACACGAAGAAATATTACGTGCGTTGCAGCTCCCTTTTTTATTGATGCTTAAAAGTTCTTGTTGGAAGTTGAGAAAGGGGGAGGTATTAATACCATTTTTTTTTCTTTTCTTTTCTCTTTTGGCTTTTTTCATGATGTGGCAACAAAAGGCTTTTCATTTATGAGGAGGGGACAAGTGGGGGCCTAAGTGATTAATGTATTTGTCATTTTTCTAGTTTAAAATGATGAGAACTTTTCTCAAGAAAAAGCATGCATGATTGAAGGGATTTAAAAATTATATAATTATAATCTCAATTAATTTTTCAAAGCAAGCCATTCATTTGAATGATATGGACGATTTGGATGGCACAATTAGTTTCACAAAATAAAACTCTAAAGAAAATATTTTTCTCGGGCGAACAATTCAAAACAAATTCACATAAAAGTGCTAGCAAATAACCAACAAACTCATTACACGCTTCTCCAAACATGATGACAAAAATGATGTTAAAGTTTAGGAATTTATTTGTAAAATGTTGTAAGATCAAGTGATTAATGAATTGAACAAATTTTTCTGGCATTTATTTATATTGCTGTCCGATCTGCAGCAGGGATCAAGCGTTGCGGGACGATGAAGACACAAGGAAGGATCGTGACACTGTGCAAGGATCAATCCGCATAGGCGAAGCAAGCTTGAGCTCGGATGTGGCCTCACTACGCGCAAGGAAGGCGGGCTAGGGCAGAGAAGGTTTCGCTAAGTTCAACGCAAGAAGGTCGCGTGCGGCTTCAGCGTGGGGCCAAGATCGGGCAACTAGATGAAGCTTTTGTTAGAGCGTGGAGGAACGGACGTCGGCGTATGCAGGAAGGATCCCAGTTGCCTCAATCGCGAGCTATTTGGGAAGGCAGCAGCGGAACTGCAGCAGGAGCTTCGCGACCAAGTCGGGCTAGCTGGGGAAGGAGAACGTGAAGG